ACCGAACATTCGAGGGGAGACTCGTCACAAGAAAGTCCTTCGTGGAAACTATGGGTGCCTGATCGACTTAAAGTCGATGTGCTCAAACAAGCCCATGACAGCATAACGTCGTCTCACGCCGGCATGCAAAAAAACCATTGAGAGAATCCGCAGACATTTGTTCTGGCCAGGATTAGTTAAAGATGTACGTGAATACATACGAAATTGCGAGATATGTAAAGAAACTAAGGCTCCAAATTATACCCTTCGGCCACCTATGGGTGCTCACATCCCAACTTGCAGACCATTTCAAAGGCTTTATATTGACCTGCTTGGGCCATACCCTAGAAGCAAAAGCGGTCATGTGGGATTGTTAATAGTCTTAGATCACTTTAGCAAGTATCATTGGTTGCAGCCCCTGAAGAAATTCACCTCAGCTGTGATACAAAAATTTCTTCTTGAACAAATTTTCCATTGTTTTGGTGTGCCACAAACTATAATAAGTGACAACGGCACCCAGTTCAAAGCTCGTGAGTTCAATGCCTTCTTAGCCGAACTTGGCATTAAACATCTGTATACAGCTCTATATTCACCGCAGAGCAATGCTGCAGAACGAGTTAACCGCTCAATACTCGCCGCCATTCGCTCGTATTTAAAACAGGATCAGACCCATTGGGATGAACATATTACAGGGATTTCATGCTCCTTAAGGTCTGCTCTGCACCAATCGATTGGGTGTTCTCCATACCGTGCCCTATTCGGGGTGGATATGATCACTCATGGTACCGATTACAAATTATTGAAGGAGTTGTCCTTATTGGAAGAACCGCAGGCCCCCCTGTTGCGGTCTGACCATTTGGCATTGCTAAGGACAGATATTCAGAAAAACATCAGGAAAGCCTATGAGCGCAATGCGGCTCAATATAATTTACGCAGCAAGCCTGTTTCTTTTCGTGAAGGACAGGAGGTGTTCTGTCGAAATTTTGCGCTTAGTAAATTCTCACACAATTTTAATGCTAAACTGGCTCCCCAGTTTATTAAATGCCGTGTCAAAAAGAAACTCGGAAATTGTTTTTATTCCCTTGAAAATCAGCAAGGAAAAGAAATTGGTACTTTTCATGCCAAGGACATTAGAGTCTAATTCCCGCTAATATACCCGTCTAACGGTAGGATATTATCGGGTGGTGTAATGGTCGCAGTTTTCCTATTTAAATTAAACCGCGTAAGCGATCCTAACAGCTTGCGTTTGTGTAACGACGCTATAGCGATCAGCTTTTGTCTGTCATGGTCAGCTGCGAATGAGTCAGCCGCTGCTATAAACCGCCTGCGTGCACGTTGGCAGCGCAGCTATCTTCCCTCTAATCCGGGAAAGAAAAAAGCTCTGAGACCCTATATAAGCCTGCAGGTCCCGGATATAACCCTTTTTTTTTTCAAAAGTTACTTTACCATCGAAGGTCTGGCTACGGCGGTGCGGACATAGCCCCACCAAAATATTAATCTAAAAGCAACAAGTTCGGGCATCAGTCGTTTAATTCGTTTAATTTAAATTCCAACTAAATTGAACCAAAAACAACAAAAAAATAAAAAGAAAAACCCTAAAAGTAACCGATTGGCGAAATAAATTTTTTTTGTTCATTTGATGATAACCTTTCGCTCCGCCACCCGGCCACCAGCACCTCACCGGCATATATTTCTTTGTGCCAAGATCTGGTCACAGTTTTAACCAGTTCTTGCTTGCCTGCCGAAAGTAATTTTTGGAGGAATAAATCTTGCCGCCGCCGTCTCTGACAGAAAAACCCACTTATTTTGAGGCAGCCGCCACGTGTGCCAATTGGACGGCACTGTAATTTCTTGGGACGGCAATGACATTTCTGCCCCCATTAAATAGACGTCAGCCTCAACGGCGGATCAGCTGCCATACCCTTGCTCATGCCAGCAAGGGCAGGCGCCGTTTCCACAGTTTGGAATCCGGAAGAGGCAGTAGCCTTCTGGGCCCCATTGACGCGCCGCTGATCAGAAGCCCAGATGACATCGCCAATTAAGTTGGCCGGAGCGTGCAGATGCATGAAAATTGCTGTTAAATGTTTTTAGTAAAAAAATTGTTAACTAAATCTTGTGAGAGACTTCCAAAAGTTTGTGAAAAGTGCATTTATTAGGCCCTCAAAAAACCGCGTGCAAGTGCAGTGAAAAAGAAAAATTGACATCTATATACATAGCTTTATATATATAGAAAGGAATACTAGTATAAATCTATCCCCCTTCTTGTAGAGTCCAAAGTCATTTCAGAATTTTTTTTATATTTTTTTTTCCCACTTATTTTCGGAGAGTATCTTCTTAGTACTCACAATTTAAAAACCCTCCTGTGCCATAATAATATAATCAAAACAATTTAAAGCCCCACAGAAGACAAAAGAAAACAAATGAAAAAAAAAATTAAATAAAATTTGCTGCAAACTCTCCGCTGGAAGGCCTTTCATCGAGGAATACATGTAAGTTTTTAACCTTTTGTTTTGAGTATATTTTCTTATTTTGGCACAGATAAGCACAGCCAAACTGACATGCGCACCTGCTGAGTTTTTTTTACTTTCTGTTTCACATTACGCTTTAGCTCCGATCAATATGTTTATGACCGTGTCAGTCTGGTGAATGCTTATCATCTTTGATTCTACCTACACCCCGCTCAATTACTAGCTGAAACAGAAGCAACCTAAAAGAAAAGATTTTTAACAGAATCAAATATATGTACACAAAGATGTATCATCGTATTCACCGATCAGCTGGTTGCGCTGCGCTCCGATTTGCCCATGCGCTTTGAGCTTAACCTTCTGTTGCCCATATTTTTTTCGACCATACAATTAACCATCAACTACAATTGTATTGACTCTATTATAATAACTTTTTTTTTGCTTTTGCCGAATACACTTTAGTTCAATTTACGAATGTCATTTTTTTCTTACCTAGCTATATTCTATAATTATTAAAATGCACTTTAGCGAAATTTGGAGAGTTTCTTTTTGATCAATAAGAAAAAAAATATTAACTGAATAGTTTATAAAATGAATTATTTTTGAAGAATCTTTGAGACATTGTAAAAATATTAACGGACTAGTTTTAGTTACTGAATTATTGTTGAATCATTAATGCCACTTGTAATAAGATGCAGATTATCTAACGGAAGGATTCAGTTTCATTGAATAATGCTTTTGTTTATAATAAATATTAATTACGGATTTTGATTATGAATTGCTAAGTTTTCTTTCCTGGTGACATGGTGATATAATGTAGTAGAAGAATGTTTTTTTTGGGATCTTCAAAACCTTAAACGCTGAAGATCATGGTTGGGAGGGTATCGAACGCGAGAGTCAGCTTACATCCAAGACTTCGCCTCTTCGGAATATATATGCCCTAATGAAAGCTATCACCATTGTATTGGCACTTTAAGTGCTCGTTAAGTTATGCCTGTTTGAGATCTTGTTTCTGCGGAGTATCGGTCTCCAATTTAGATTCTGTAGGGATCCTAAAATAAAATTGTGTATGCAGGTCGAGACATGGCAAAAAGAACCCCCCCACCCGAAAGAGCTAGGGAACAAGAGGATCCCGCCCTGCCATGCTAACTCAACCACGAGGGGCCTCGGTGACTACTTCCCGAATTATTTTGTGAAGATTGGCTGCCAACCGCCGTCACCGTTGCTACCCGATATGTATTGCTAGAGTAGCTTCACCACAGTACTTGCCACAATCTAATGTCCGCAGGGTCAACTGCTCTTCTTGGTGGCAATGTGCATTTGACCCCGGCCGTTGTCCGGTGTCAAGTTTGGCAGGGGGCCAGGTGCCGATTGAGCTAATTCTGCAGGTGCTTTCGTCAAGTTGACGCCTATGCAGGTCCGAGCTGGCGGGGTGGACCCCAACGCTTTGCGTGCGCCCAATTAAACCAGACCTAGAGCCAGCGAAGCATCATCCAATGCACTTGGCATTCAAAATGCTTAAGTGGGCATGGCAAAAATTGAATGAAGGCGGCGTCGGCATCTGCTACAGATGTGCATTCGCATCTAAAGCCACGTTAAACTAAATTGGCTAAAATGCCCGAATTCCTCCTCATAGTCAGGCGGGCCAATCTGTCCACAAATCTTTTGCCGTCTGCCACCCCTCTATCGCCCAAAGGCTTTGGTTGGCAAATTGAAATGAAAAGCGCGCCGCGGATTGTTGGCTTTGTTCGATGGCTGATGGCGAAGTTGGCTGCTTGTTGATAAAGATATGACCGCAACATACAGACCACCTCATAAGACCACGTTCTGAAAAACGTTTTCATCAGCTTTTCTCTTCGATAAAAATAATTTTTTAAAAAAGTTTACTCAAACTAAATCTAAAACCGTTAAATCGTTAAATCTGCAAAGATACTGAAAAGTTGTACATATTTCCTGTGAAAATAATAATAGCTCCATAAGGAAATACAAAATAAATATATTTTCTTTGCTTATTCTGAAGCATTTTTAAGTAAGCAACCATTCGAGGGGTATTCATATCTAAAAGGCATAAAGTTGATAGCCCTAAACGAGAAACATGTAAAATATGAATAGTCTAAGATAAGTCTGACTACTTTAAAAGCTTTCGATATCTAAATTCTATTAAAATGCCAGTCATAAAAATGTGTTAAGAATCGTCTTCTATGCATTACATACTTCCTGTGAAAATAACAATTCCCTAATAAGAGAATACAAAATATGTTAAAGTTTTTTTTTTTTTTTTCACACGTTGGTTATTCTGAAAAATTCTTAGTTAGGAAAACAATTGAGTGGCTTCCACAAGTACAAAGCATAAAGTTAATAGCCCTAAGCGAGAAATATGTAAAATATGAATAGTCTAAGATAAGTATGACTATTTTGAAAGCTTTCGATATCTAAATTCTATTAAAATGCCAGTATAGTGCAATGATATATTACCAGTGCGTCAATGGGTTTGACTATAAAAGCGAATTGTCTTGCCAAGTATGTCAGAAGAAATCTTTAAAAACAGTGTGAAAAATGTGCCTCAAGTGTTTTCTGCTGCTTTTGACAACCACTCTAGTGACTGCCCACCAGGCGCCTGCTTTATATGGATCCTTTACGAGCAATCGCATTATTGGTGGCTCGAATGAAGTCATCGAGAACGCACCGTGGCAGATCTCCCTGCAATATCTTGGAAAGCACGTCTGCGGGGGCTCTATCTACAACAAAGAGATCATTGTAACTGCTGCACACTGTGTTGCAAGTAGGCTCCCTAAGGATCTACAAGTCCGAGTTGGCTCTACGTACCATAACTCGGGTGGTACATTGGTCGGGGTAGCCAGAACTCTCAGCCATGAACACTTTAACAGACCATCATATGCAAATGATATAGCCGTGATACGCCTGAGTCAGCCGCTCACATTCGGTACAAGCGTGCAGCCCATAGCCCTGGCTAAGACAACACCTAGCAGAAAAACTTCCGCAACAGTAACCGGTTGGGGAATAAGTAAAAAAGTGCCTGTGTCACCAACGCAATTGCAAAGCGTAAGACTTCGAATTATGAGCCAGAAACTATGCTGGAAAATCAGCTTTGGGTTAATAACTAACGATATGATCTGCGCCTTTGATTGGAAGAAAGGCGCTTGCAATGGCGACTCTGGTGGTCCGCTCGTTGTCAATAGAGAACTTGTGGGCGTCGTTTCTTTTGGAAAGTTTATGTGCTTTGGTCCCACTGTTTTTGCCAATGTGGCTGTGCAACACAATTGGATTTTAAAGGCAGTCAAAGAGATTTCGAAACAAGATTCAACCGAGAGACCTTCAACAAGACCAACAACAGCAGAGTCTTCTGCAACAACTACTTCGATAGAGCCTTCAACTACTTCGAAGTCAAAACCTTTAGCTTCAACTACTACTAAGAAAAATCCATTAACTACGAAAATACCTGATACTACTGCTGCAGAAGATGTTACAGAATTATCGACTATTCAGACAACATTAACAGATTCAACAACAGTTACTTCTCCTACCACTCTCTCCGACCCTTCTGGTTTTAAAGTTTAGCACTATTGGGAATCTAAATCTAATGCATCTAATTACCGAATAGAGTAAAAATTTGAATTATAAATATGTACAAATGATAAAACCAAAAAAAAACTAATGACATATATTTTTTTTGATAATATTAAATGCAGATATATGAAAATATTTTTAATTTACAAAAGCTATTGCCAAATTCAGTATGAACATTTCATGTATATATCGAGAAGCCTAACAAGCCTAAACAAATCTATAATTATTTTGCTGACCGTTTCATTGCATTATTTTAAAGCTTTTGATACTCTTTAGCGTTACAATCAATAAAATTTTTCTTATAAAATAACGATAATTATGAAGAGCCAAGTTTCCAACTTCGAACCAATACCAGTTTTAGCGCCAAATGCAGTCGAAAAGGTTTGCTGGAACTTGTGTAGCTACTATATTGGAGGTAAATGTGATTTCAGGAACTCATAGAAATCCATTCATTCCGTGAATCGCAAATGCGACGCATTCAAAGCACCGCAAACTATTGGGTTGCCCGTGGATATGCGCAGCCATTTCCGTCGCAGTTGCATGCAACATCCTCCCATGAGACGGCCACAGCTGTTGGGTTTATGGACGGCTCCATACATTTATCTGCACGAACTGCTCCCCCCGCAGCTTTGTCTGCGTGTTGAAAATTCAAATGAAGCTGACTTTAAATTGATGCTGGAAAATTTGAATGCGCCATTGCGCAATTTATGACTATTTCATGCCAATTTTAATTTGCGCAGTCGGCGTCCGCTTTAAAATGTACCCTTAATACAACTCGTAGTGCCATAGTTTTGGGACTGGGCCTAGCTTTACGATTGGTATTGGAATCTGTATATCGGAGGCTCATTAATGCCACGCACGTTGCCATGGCAAGGGATGAAAGATACGGAACGCTAATAAAACAAAAATGCAAAACATATAAATCAGTGTCCTTGGCACGTATTGCGAACGCCGTCGATGACATTGCCCAAGGCGCTGTACAGCACCAGTTGCCAGTTGCCAGTTGCCAGTTGCCAGGTGGCAGGTGGCAGGTGCGCCTGGGTCAACCTGCAGGGGCAACTGGCTCGCCTTGTGCGCTGTCACGTTGTAAATCTCATGAGAACAAACACAGAATACAACAGCACGGCAGACGGCGACACAACACGCGTGCTTAGCCATATTCCCCATATCCATTTACATACACACATGCATTGGGTGTCACACAGGCCCAAAAGGCGACAATCCGCACGATTGCATTATAAATTAAAAACGATGTCAACGCAGCAAATCAACAGCTGCGTCCAAGCTGAAGAACTTTACAAAACTAGAAAACTGCAGCAAAACTGTGGAAAATATAATTTCGTACAAAATAGCACCAAAATTGAAGTCAAATCAATGTTAAAGATGGTCAATATTTTTATTATTCTTTTGAAGGGCTTTCTACACTTTAATTTTCGTTTATTATCTTTATAAGAGCTATCGACTTTGAAATCGATATCGAAATTCAGTTTTTTAAGCAAATCTCCTAGATTCTTAGAGCTAGAGTCACCAAACTTGACATAAAGCTTCTACAATAGTTTTATTTATAGCTGTGTGGTATTGATTTATAAATACTTAGTGTGGGCGTAGGGGTGGCGATAACTATAAAATTAAAGATACTTGATATAGATCAAGTATCTAGATACTATTCCAACCCCTCTGGCCCACTCAAAATAGTTATTAAATACATAAATAAATCACCATGGAATCATCCGCCAATTTAAGCCACAATTTTAAATCAGTTGTCTTTTTGAGAATATGCGATTATTCGATATCTCATCAAGATCGGTTAAAAAACACGAAACTTATTAAAGCTATTGCAGCTAGGGCAAATTACAACAAAAGACAGACAGTACCATACTATATGAATTAAGTTTTTTAGCTGCCTTTTATACTTACATACTCAAAAACCCACACAAACACACGAGTGGCTTTCTGCCACAGTTCTTACAATAGTATTTCGTGAAAAGAAATCAATTAATTAAAAACCTGACAGTAAAATACTTTCAGCGAGTTACCGAAAGCTAGCTCAATTTAAATTTTCTCTGACTCCCCTCGAAATTGCAGCTAAATTATCCCATTTCTTAAGTTGCACAGACGGTTGCGCCCTCGGCAAAACTAAGTTTTGCAACGTCTGGCAACTATTTGCATGCTTGTTGTGTGCAAGTGTGGAGAAGTTTGTAATATCTGCGGAGCTTAATGTCTGTTTGGGCAGAAAGCTTTCCAAGCCATTGGATATTGCAAACTATGCAATATAATCATAATCGTATGATATATGTCCAATCTCTGCAGCAAAGTTTTCAAAATTGCTCGTTCGACAGACCCAGTTAAGGAGTTAGCTAAAGCATACAAAAAGACAGAGCCCCTGGAGCTGTGCTAAGCCTTGCCGAGCTTCGCACTCTGGAGAGTCAATTTCCAGCGATTAAATTAAGAATGCATAACTTGCAGGGTTAACAGCGTCAGACAGAAGGCGGCCAATTGCCATGACTCTTGCCCAGCCCTGCTCGCTTCCCTTCCTAACCCTCCCTAGTCTGAGACTTGGCCACGGACGAATCTGATTTTTATTTGCAATTCTCTTTGCGCGTGGGTAAAACTTGAGGCTGAAGTAGAAGAGTGCCTCCGTCAGTTGCTATTTCTTATTTAACCTGTTTTTATACCCTGTAAAGGACATAAATGGTGCACAAGTTAGAAAAATTAAGGTAACAGGTGATGAAATACATAAGAGAACATCGCAGAAATCTATATCCTCTACCATTTTAATGCTCAGTTAGCCAAAGGTTTGTCTTATTAAATCGCATAATTTCATCTTATCTTATATATACAGCAGCAGTATTATAATTTTTAAATCTTAACCAAAAAGGTAAGGGTATTTAAAATTTGATAGTTACTACTTTTGCTTGTTTCATTTACGATTTCTTTGCTATTTCTGCGTCCTGACCTGCCCCACAGTTGGCGACTGGGGAGAAACTGCCTTTCCGAGTACTGGTGTTATTTGGGTAAGATACATATGGATAGTATATATGTACTTGTATACTTAACATGAAACGTGCTCCGATTCTCGCCTCTTGGACCCAGTTACAGAAGTCAGTAGCATCTTTCGCTTCAGGCACTCGTTTTCTGTAAGCCAATGTGCCCAGCGTTGCATTTGTTTGTAATGCAGTTTACATTTGCAAATAGTTTCCATAAATGTTGTTCTCGTTACTGTGGGTCCTGCCGGCAACATTTTGTGGTTGCTTAAACGACGACGGCAACACTGAAAATGATAATGGGCGAAACAGTGAAAAACCTGGTTGGACAGTGTAATGCCTGCCGGGCCAGGAGTTCAAGTTGACCTCGCTTTTAATTTGTAGAAATGCGCGCGCCAAATAAAAAATAACAATAACAAAGTTGAGCCTGGGCAATAGTTGGACAGAGGTCTGCATTGTTTCACTTGCCCGCATATTTGCACGTCTGGCCAGTGTGTACACCACACACACACACACACACACACACACATAATTGAATTAAGGCGAGGCTTCTGGTCTCCCACTCTCCCATATGCTCTTGAGCTTTGTGCTCTTGTTGTTTGCTTGTTGCGCTGCGTTGCCTTTTGTTACGAGCTTAACGCCATTTTGAGTGCAATGCAATGTAGCACACTCTCACACATAACTGTTTGTACACGTGGGCATAAAGAAAAAGTTGTAAAGGCAATAACAAAAATAACTTCAGGCGCTAGAGCAACCATTTGCAGCAGGCGCCATCGCTTTATTGCTGACTTTATGTTTAATGTTAACAAAGTGCGTACTTTGTTATAAGCTCCGAGAGGCTTACGATTAAGAGCGCAAGCGAAAAAATCTCCCAGTTAGTCCATTTTTCATGACATAAAAAGAAAACATAAATATACTCGTAACACCACAAATAAAAGAAGGCACACTTACGCCAACATCGTGCAATGAGGAAAACATATGGGTTCACAGATCATGCTTTCTCCCAAGCTCTCTGAGTGATCCTTAGAATATCACACCAAAATGTGTAACTATTTATAAGTACTAATTGCGGCTTGAGACATCAACTAGGGAACATGACCTGTTAGAGAGATAAGGATAAGGCTCTTCCAATGATTGAAAGTGCGAGAGACTGGAAGTGTTGCCCCTGTACAATTTACAGAGTACACTATTCACACTGTGCTTACAGCCAAACGCAACGCAAAATAGCTCTACAATCGTCTAGATATACTCAATTAACCTCAAATCCATATCCATATCCATCCATATTGATGTACACTCTACATTCCAAGCAGTTAATCGATATAAACATTTTTAAGTGGTATACATATTTATAAAGGTATTACGTATACGCAGTGTGTAGCGAGTTCCATAATTTAACAAGTGCAGTATATAAGAACTTAATGAATGCCTGTTTCGACTCAGCTATTGGGGAGGATAATACATATATACTCAATGGACTCTACCTGGAGCCAATAACTGAACCTCTTGGAAAAATTGTATTTTAGTAATCTTTGGGCAAAGAATATTGATTGCTTTAAGTAACCAACATTTTTCTATCTCAAGAGAATGAGTCTAAAGTAATTTCCACCAATAAAATGTTCATTATTTAGTAAATCTACCAATTTTAGAGGAAAACCAAAACTCTTGGTTTCAGTGACAGCAACAGCAGGCCAAAAAGTATTCTTCCCAGGAAAAACCACATGACGCACTCAACCTGTCAGCAAATAACAGCTCCTGTATCCCTTATAATGCGTATGTGTAAGTGTGTGAGTGTGGCCAGATTCGAAGGAAAAGAATCTTGGCTACATAACGTACTTACATATGTATATTATGCATGCAGC